AAAAAAAAAAAACTTTAAATCTGTGCTGGAAATGGAGCTTGGTTATTGATTATTTGCAGTGCTCAAACTTTGCAATGAGATGAGGACTGTAAAGTTTCTAGTTGCTGATATCTGGCTTTTACTTTTTTAACTTGTGCCTGTAGTTGTAGTGATTCAATTCAATTTATATCGTGCCAAGTCACAACACATGTTGTCTCAGGGCACTGTACATGGAAAAGAACATTCTAAAGAAGAAACCAGCAGGGCTGCGAGTGCAGAGACAACTGAGCAGGAGGAGTTTGAAATTTAATGAAGAAATCCTAGCATTTTAAAACACGTACAAAGAGAATAAATCCTCAAAATCCCCCCTCCCACTGTAGAAAAGTTACCTTGTGTCGCAGGATCATAAGCTCTCCCTCCCGCTGCACGTCACGCAGAGCGAAGCTTTAACAACCGTAGTTTTTCACACCCAATTGTTGGAGAAAAAATTTTTTTAATGTGTTGTTACCCACAGAGATGATTTAAAAAAGACGTGGACGTTTGTTCAGTCATAAATCCTTCTGCTAATGTAAAGTCGGCTTCTGCTCTGATGATGAAGATGATGAAGATGAGCGCGCAGCAGAGCAGCAGCTGATAAGTTCAGCAGGCTGAAGCTCATTATTTTGCTGGCAGATATTAAAGCAAAAATGCTGGGTTTAATTAAGATTACAGTTTTCTGCAAAAAATGCTCAAAAAATTACATTATTTTTACTTTTTACAATTTTCTACTGCAATATATACCATTACCATGAAGGGGTTCGATTTATACCATGATATGAATATGAGGTCATACCGCCCAGCCCTACCATGTGGTAATATCTGTTACAGAATGATGTCAGTTTTTAATGCAGTGCCGCCTGAAGGATAGAAGGTCTTGGGTGTTCATTGTTGGTTTTTGACCATGATATTATGGACTGAAGATGATGAAATCCCTAAATTCCTTGCAGTTGGTTACAAAGTGGTGAACCTTGCCCCATCCTTACTTGTGAACAGAACAACCAAGCCTTTCTGGGATGCTCCCTTTATACCCAGTCATGACACTCATCTGTTTCCAGTTAACCCTGTTCACCTGTGGAATGCCCCAAACAGGTGTTTTATGAGCGTTCCTCAACTTTCCCAGTCTTTTCTTGCCCCTGTGTCAGCTTTTTTGGATCATGTTGATGCATCAAATTCGAAATGAATGAATATTTGCAAAAAAAACAAACAAACAAAGTTTATCTATTTGAACATTAAATATCTTGTCTTTGTCGTGTATTCAATTTAATAAATGTTGAAAAGGATTTGCAAATCATTGTATTCTGTTTTTATTTATGTTTTACAAAATGTCCCGACTTCATTGAAATTGGTGTTACAATATAAAATATGTCACTTTTAATTAGTTAGCTGACGTGATATTTTTCAACATCTGTTTTTAAAATTTTAATGCCTCAGTTTAAATTTTTTTTGGGCCTTGTCTCATAAAGCTCGAGATGCTTCCTTCCTGATTTTGTCGTCGTTTACTGGTTGTTCTGTTTGTTTGTTGTCGTTTTCAGTCGTGGACGATCCTGCTGTTCGGCGCTCTGAACCTGCTGTGTACCGGCTGTCTGCTGATGTGGTGCAGCTCCACCAACAGCATGGGTGAGTTCACACAAACACACACAGATATGCTGTAAAACGAACTGACATGCACAGACTGACAGAAACACACTCTCTGAGCCTTAGATGTTAACAAGCACAGATTCCCATCCACACACAGCAAACACTGACTGACAGTTACACACACTCATACAGCGTGTGTGTGTGGTCTGCAGCTGTAAACACACACTGTGAATGAGTCCTGGAGAAGTGTGTGTGTGTTGTGTCATCTCACCTCGGGAGGTTCGGACCTATCCTGTAGCTTCTCAGTGTGTTTGTGTTTTCTTAGAGATTGGGGGTAACCTCAGTCAAAACGCGGTGCTTTAAAGGGCACTCTGTAGCGTCCTTCACAGCAGCTGTTTTTACCCTCAGGTGTTACCGTACGGAGAGCACATCTGTCGTATTGACAGACGCCAACGTTCTCCGTGGAACACAGGCTCAGCAGCAGAACAGCAGAGTCAAGTTAAATCGGTATAAAGATATTTGTGATGCAGAAAAAGAAATGCAACCACTATCAGTCAATTCAAAGCTTTATCAACCTTTACTGTGACATCTGTCCAAATAAATCTGTTGTGGAAAAAAATATAGAAAATAAATACAAAGAGGGTATAAGATGAAGTGTGCTAATTTTATAAATGTGCTCATATTAAAACAGGTTGAAACTACCTCCTGATTTAACCTTGTTAAGTCTGTCAGATTGTGAGGCAGGGGGTTCAAAGGTTTCAGGAGTAGGACACTGACTGTTCATAGGGTGAAGCAGAGTGCTGAAGGTGATAAAAGGGGGGGTTGGGCTCTCCCCGAGAAAAAAACATTATATTGTAGAACTCCAGCTTTTTCCTGACATTTGGAACAAGGAGGGTTGTTTGAAGAGTCCAAAATCTACAGTTTATGAGGAGAATTTGTGAATTTTTTTTATTAGTGTTAAAAAGTATTGAATTATTCTATTTTGTGGGAATACCTGTATACAACACATTTTAATGTTTCATTTTTATTGTTCCATCTACAACAAAGCTTATGGTGAAGTAAGAAAAGACGTCTCTGTGCTGAATATTCTAATGTTATTTTAATAATCAAGCATAAATAATCATAGTACCAAATGTATAAAAACTTCAGGGTAAATATATGAACAACATGTTACGAAGAGTTTAAGAAACATCTCAAGAAGAACTGGTTCTCGACTTCATCAGCTTCTCAAACATGACACTTGGGTCAAGTGACCTAGAAGCCATTAAAGAAAAAATTATAAATTTTGCATAAAATATTTACAAAAAATAGAAAATACCTTAAAATCAAGTACAAAGAGGTGTGCATCATCTGTTTAGTAGTATCATTGGGTCACATGACCTAAAGGCTACTTGATTGTTGTTTGTTCAGTAATTTATTGACAGTCCCTAAGCCAACCACTGTGTGTGGAGGAGGAGTGAGCAGATGGAAGGCAGCGGACCAAAATCACACCGTCTGCACCAGGTTAGATGGGAGGAAAAGAATGCTGAATTCAAGGAGCGTGAATACCTGATATTCAGTCAAAACTAACTTCATTGCAGTTTTGAATGGGGAATCTCCACTGGATGGGGCATTAATTAAATAATTAATTTATATTTACAACTCTAGACGGCAGCCCCGGCCGCAACAGAAGTTGTTTTATTTTATTAACTGCAGCAAAAGTAGTTGAAAAAAGTGCCTACCTGAGATTTTACACAGCAAAATTTGTCTGCCGGGTTCTATTGAACCCAACTGTGAGGTCAACTCCTGTGCACAGCTCTCTTCAGGTTGCACAACAGATTTACTCTCAAATTAGATCTAAACTCTGGTGTGGACATTCCAAAACTTTAGTTTCCTTCTGGTGAAGGAAGGTTTTAGTTGGTTTGCTTGGTTGCTTGGGGTCATTGTTATTTGGAAAAATCAAATTTCTCCATCTTTATTATTCTGACACCTTAAGGCGCCATCAGTTGTCTTTCAGTGAACACCTGTGTGTAATTTTAATCTCAGTATAAAGCCAAGGTTTGTTACAGAACACTGTTAAACAGCATCATGAAGACCAAGGATCACACCAGAGTGGTTAGGGATAAAGTTGTTGAAGTTTAAATCAGCTTTGAGTTTTAAAACAATGTTCTAAGCTCCTTTTGTAAATGTTGCCATTAACTATCACTAACTAACATTGTATGGATTTGATCGAAACTTACAGGACGTGATCATTTGATGTACATTTACAGCATGGAGTTATCTCCATTCAAGGTGGTTTAAAGTTTCACAATGTAAATGTTTGCACACGGTTTGTGAGTTACAGATTTTATTGTCTTAAAGAACTTTTTCTTTGCTTCATTATAGAAACAAAACCTCTGCTCAAACACAATCCATTGTGCACTTTAGAGCCAGCTGTAAAGGCAGGCTTCAGCTTTGGTAGTACATGTGCTGTGAGATCCGTTTGGTCTGTTTGTGTGCATCGCAGGTTAATTTGATTGTAAACATGTACATATCAATGCTGCCTGTCTCGTGAACAAAGAGCCCTGCATGCAGCCGTGCAGCGAGACAGTGTGTTTATGGTCAGCCACAAACACGAGATCCTCTCAGGGACTCCATCACTCAGGAAAACGCCAACATAAAACGAGCAGCGTGCAACTCGATCTGTGCGAATTCTGCAGAAAAACTCGCAGACAGATGCACGTTCAGAGGTGGCGTCGGGTGTCGCGCAAGGCAGGAAGTTTAGATCAGAGGTATCGAACAAAGAGACAAAGGCGACACCGCTGTCGATACTCGGTCCTGATGAGGAGAAGCAGAGCAGACAACGACCCGGTCTTGATGCTGTCTGGGTTTTACCCTTAAAATAACTACCGGTCCTACCTGCACACACAAAAACATGCATTATTACCATGCAGAGGCACCACTTTCAGACAGAATATCATTGTATTGACCATTACCGGTCAGCCTTGACCCACAATAAATAAATATTCATCCACCTTTTTTTAAAAATGCTTTTAAATTCTAATAGTTTCTTCAAACAGCTTCATGATGATAATTTTGAAACTCTTATTTTTATTAGTCCTCAGCTGTCCATCCCTCATGCTGACACTATGACCACAGTTTTGTGTGCTTCATTTGTTAAAATGTGTGTCAGAGCCAATGAGATCACTTATATCCTTTACTGATGGCTAAAGACTCTGATTTGAAGTGAGGAATATATGTCTTCCATTTCATTAATCTGTGGCCACACACAAACACACTTAATGTTTTCTAGAAGCACAGACATCTTAGATTACTTTTTAATGAGAAAATTCTGTCATCGAACTTGAACTCCCTGCTTGGATGTAAACATGCTCTAATCAATTAAAACTATTTGCTACAGAGATCTTCCACTCAAAACAAACATTGACTTCTATTTGTTTTTCAGTCATTTCTATAGCCTAACCCTATACCCTACCTCTGTCCACCCCAGTACATCCCTAACCCTAAAACTAACCCCCAACCAAAAAATGTCATCCATGGGGACCAGACTTTGGCCCCCTATAAGGAACACTGGGTCCCTACAAGGCCGTGTGTCTGAAAATAGTCCCCATGATGAGTCCCCAAATATGCATCCACTCACACACTCTTATTTACCTATGTATTTTTTTCCTTTCTCACACACACACACACACACACACACACACACACACACACACACACACACACACACACACACACA